AATAATAATAATAATAATAATAATAAAAATGATGATGATGATGATGATGATGATGATGATGATGATGATGATGGTGGCGGTGATGATTATAGAGCCTTTTGTCGTTCATGTCACGTTTATATCAAGGGAAGGAAATGTGAATCCTCGACTCTTCTTTTAACGTTTGATCCAATTATCATCTAACTACTACGGAACTGCAAATCTCTAGGAAGGTCTAGATCAAGACCAAGATGTGAATAACTTTCCGAATAGAAGATCTCTCCTCTCTCGACGGTGAGGCAGACTCAACTACAATCTCGTTGAGCTAAATGAAAGAGTCCTGCCTTTGAGGCAGTTGCGTTTTTGTTTACACAAAATAAATACCCACTCGTGATTAATCCAAAGCGGGAAAAAAACAATTTATTCTAAAACAATAACAACAACAACAACATGACACGTTCCGCTGTTGAATGCACAATACCAGATTGTTGCCTTTTTTCTCTACCTCTCCAAACCAGAAGTTACATTGACCTCGGTCGTTAATTTGAGAGAACGAGAGGCTAAGTAAACGAATAAAACAACAATGTCCGCTGACCTATACGTGCAGTAGAATATCTAGTATTGTTACACTTGGCTGTACAACCAAAGGTGCGGTCGTATGACTATGTGTTTGATTCCTAGGCATAATATGTATCGACGTAAACCAGGATATGCATTATGTGTACACCTAGACATCTATTCTAGATCCACACTCAAATATTTAATCCAGTATAAAGATGCTATTGATGTACTGAATTAACTATTTTGAAAGTTTGTTGATTAACTTACAAACACTCCTTCAGTTCACTGAGAGTTCGGAAAACCGTGAGAATAATAATAACAATAATAATAATAATAATAATAATATATCCCAGTTCAGCACGTAATGGCAGTGTTCCTGTCACCGGCCTGAGAATCCGGAACACCAGCAGTGCCCCACCTTTAGAACGACCAGGTACACACTACCTCTTTCTGCGGTAAAAACAGCGGGGGCCCGTTCCTCGGATTCTCTCGCCATTGACGGCCTTGTTGTATGTATTGGCTCCTACGTATAGCAAATCAGAACCCGCCTAACAACTTACTGAGTTCGGCGCGTTCGCAGCACTTTGTATTTATTATACGGTGTTCCAAAACGCCACTATGTTTAAAACTGCTCGTTGTTTTCCAACGAACGTCTTTGGGGAGGACAAGGAAAAGAAGAAGAAGAAGAGGAGGAGGGGGAGAAGGAGGAGGAGGAGGAGGAGGA